TGTACAAGCTTTCCTACTACGTTAAAATAGCGTTCAAAATTGTATTAACTAAACAGGACAATGCAGTAGTTGAGTTTTTATAGATACGAAATCTTCATGACATTAAAAGTCCCCCTACCAGCACAGATATTTGGGGGATCCTACTTCTTATATCCCTCTGTTTTAAGTATCTGTTTACTTCTGTTGCTTCCTGTTCTTTAACCAGTTAGCAATTCAGAAGAGGACATCCTCTCACCCAATGCTGAGTTTGGAGGAGGGCCTCAGATGATTGAATCATATAGGCAGGAATATGAAACCATCAAAATCTGAATTTACCAAAGTTCTCCAAATTCTAGATTGAAGTTTGTTCCAACTTGAAACTGAATCAAATTCCAAAATAAATCTGTTTGTACTTTCATGCATATTTTTCCAAATTTGTCCATCAATTGTGTGACTCTCTGAAATACAGACATTCTTGTCCCATTGATGAAAATGTATTTTTGCATATATTCAAAGTATTGGTTTTACTGCAAATTTTACAAATGTATAAGTGTAGTTCTTTGGTCAACAAATTACATTGCAAGCCTGAAAATGTATAGAATTTTAAAACAGATCGTGCCAGAGTTAATGTTTGGCCTGGAAGATGAAAAATGGGTAAATCCACATCAAAAATCAATAGAACTGAATTTCTCATATATCCCTAAGTATATGGATAGGTTCATACTGGGAGAGGTGCTCCCATATTGCAGTTCCAAGTTCTGCAAGGCTTTATAGGTTAAAACTAGCACCCTGAGTTGGACTTGAAAACAAACCAGCATCCAGTGAAGTGAGTCAGAATTACTATTCTATGTTTGGACCTTATGGTTCTTATCATCAGTCTGAACACTGCTTTCCCTGCAAGCTGTAGCTTCCGAACCACCTTCAAGGGCAGCCCTTCACAGAGCACATTGCCACAATCTAACTTGGAATGTAGCAGAGCAAAAACTATGGAAGCCATGGTATTGCTGTCCAGACTGGGGCCACAGTTGGCCCACCTGCCAAAGTTGGGAGAAGGATCTGATGACACTGAGGTCACCTGAGACTCAAGTTACAAAAATGTCTCAAAGAGAACCCCCTAAACAACCCCATCCAAACATCGCCAACCTGTTCTAGTCAAAAGAACCACCCAATAAGGATTTTCTTGATTGAGAGTCAGTTTATTAGCATTCATCTAGTCAACAGTCATGGCTAAGATTCGATTTTGTTGACCTTCTATCAGACACAAGAAGAGAGTTAAGGCTGACTCCAATGGAAGGATAAATGCTCACCTTCTATAATCCAGTGCATTGAACAGATGACATATACATGCCTTTCTTGAATGGATACATACATGGATACAGTGGTACCTTGGGTCACGAACAAAATTTCATAAAAATTTTGACTTGGGTCACGAACTCCGCTTTGGGTGGCAACCAAGATCGTAGCGATCTCCCCCCTCCCCCGCCCAAGTGGGGAGATGGCCACGGTCGCAATCGTGTTCGTGCAGGGAACACTTGCGTGCTCACGGCTGTGCTGTGCTGCGCCCATCTTTCCTGCAGGAGCGCACCCGTGATCACGCACGTCTTCCCTGCACGAACGCAACACGCACTTGGGGGGGGGGGAGATGGCCGCGATCGTGCTGGTTGGTGGGAGGGGAAGATGGCCGCGTTGTGCCCGTCTTTCCTGCAGGAGTGCGCCCATGCCAAGATTTCTTTGAGAAGTACCACCCCAACATAAATGTAACGAACAGAGTGTTGAAGCTGATGAACGATAACATGGTCTCCCATTCCAGAGGGTTATGCAGCGCAGGAAAAAACAAGTGACTATAGACAGAGTTTTCACCAAAATTGACCCTGCAGCTAAGAGACAAAGAGAGGAAACTCCCAAAAGAGATCTCCCCAATGTCCTTATGGAGGGGGACTCTTCCTCAAAACAATAACCTCCCCTCCCCCGCCACCTTAGGTTAGTGTTCTCCACTGTATTGTACAGTACTTTGTTACTTTGTTGTTCTTTGTCACTTTGTTTCAAAATTTCTGATAAAGAAATAGTTACAGAATGGATTAACCTTATTACATGGAACCTCATGGGCAAAATTGACTTGGCTTGTGACCAAAAACTGGCTCACAACCACATTCGGAGGGGCCAGAACGGATTAACCTTATTCCGTACACTGAATCTTATGGGGAAATTTGGCTTGGGTCACAACCAATTTGGGTCACACCCAGAGTCATGGAACGGATTAAGTTCGTGAGCCAAGTTACCACTGTATTTGGTCTGCCTTTGTTGAACTGTATATATATACATAATATATACAAATCTTTCTCACTCTCTCTGTTATGTCTCTGTGTGTAAAATAGCTTCCCCCCCCCTTTTTTTTTTTTTTGCTTTCAGGTTTTTTTTCAACTTACAATAAATAATTAAAATGGAGCAACACTTTCTTTTTCTGTGATAATAATTTACTAACAGTAAATTAGTAGAGTGCTTTTCCCGCTAGTAATAGTATGCCAGTTATTCAAACTAAAAATTGTTTCTTGTGGGGTAAACACTGCTACTGTCTTCTATAAATGACTTCAATGAAGAAAATACCACCTCATATATTATACAATAAGCACATCCTCATAGGAATTAACATGAATTCCACATTCAAATAATCACTTGTGACATTAGTTTACAAATTTTTAGAAAGAACGTTCACATGCTGGGGAGCAACTACCAATTTCTGCAGGTAGAAAAATTACACTATACTCTCATTTTTTCATTTATGTACTTGGTTTTAATAAAATGATAAATACAAATAAAAAGTAATTATAAAAATAAGTTCTATACAGTGTCATGGAGATTCCTACATGGAAATGCCACTCTGAAGAGCTCAAATAGACCACCAAACAATAACTGTTGGATTTCCTAAGAGGCTTCTAAGGAGCAGACAGACACCCTTGGAAGAAACCATAATACCCCAAGTTTGGAACTAAGATAAATACACTAATGATAGATAGTGTATCTCAGTTATATATGGCATGCCATAAACTTGTTAACTGTTTTCAGAAAATCAGTGCTTAGTTCTGTACATTTTTGGAGATTGCTTTCCATCAAGATTATGTGAAAAGGATACAGCTTCTAATCAGAGAAAGAAGATTTGGTTTTCCAAATCTTGTTGTACACATAATCTGGCTTATTTGCTGACTCATAATGAACTTTTGGTCTTTCCTGTTGGCATATGATGTTTCACTCTGGTAAGTTCTGAAATCTTCTTGCCTGGTTCCTATCTCTAAATGGATGGAATTAGCTTAGATGTACAACAATCTTCTGGTCTTCCCAGTTTCTATGGTTAAAGGTATCTGGGATATACTGTCATATCAATTGTACCTTCATCCATTTTGTCATGCTAAATTGACTTTATGGGGCAATCCAGATCTAAAATTGGTAAAACATCTAAATGTTTTATAGTGTACATGAACATATAAGATGATTTTTACTTTGGAACAACTAGTAGGTGCCAATGATGTGTTCTTGTCATTTTCTGTCCTGTATGTCAAATACGATATACCAGCTATGGCTGAATGGCAGTACTTCCAACTGCAGTGTTAGTATTTAGTTTGGTCCAGCTACTTTTATAGCATCAGAGTCGCTATTATTATTGTAAGCCCCTATCGAGGCTGGCTGGACAATGCAACCAACAATCCTTATCTATAAATACTTGCTATGGGTGGGTAAATGTATGCACTGTTTTAAGCAGCAATAAAATAGAACATTGGATGGTCACATTCTGCTTAACTGGTGTATTGCTGCTTTGGTGTCTATATTGGTCATGTTTATGAATCTTAGGCTATGTCTTCTTCAGCAACAGCATTTGTCTCATGTCTGCTATGACACCGCAAGGTCCCTTCAATAAGGGATTGTCACATTCAGCTAACTGCCAGCTAATTGTAAAGTTTCTTTTTAAGCATATGTTTTGGTAGTGTCCGGTAGTTGTTGAACTTTTGGGAGCAGGTTAGAGAGCCAGCATGGAGGGTAGTTAAGAGCGCTGGATGGGACTTAAGAAATCCAGGCTCTTGTCTCCTCTTGGTCATCAGGCTCACTGGGTGACTTTGGGTAAGCCACTGACTCTGAACCTAATCTACACCATAGGATTGTTGTAAGGATAAAATGGAGAGGAAGAAGACATGTAAACTGCCTCAGATTCTTTTCAAGAAGAGAAAAAGGTGGTATATACATGAAATAAATAAATAACTACAAATACATTTTCAGTGTTTAGTATTTATTGATGTCCATGCTCTTTAATTTACTTGTCTTCTTCGTGGAAATTAACAGTCAGTGCAAATCAATTCATCAAAAGCAATGATGTTACAACAACATCCCCTATAATGAAATGGACAGAGGACCTTACAACACTTCAAATATTTTCCCAAGTGGTATATGGACGCCACTTTCAAGTGGATAGAAGCCTCTGAAAAAATTGCTAGAAAGTTGCTTTTTCATATATATGTACTTCATCTCTATTCACTGTATATGCAAAGTAGTGTATGTATATTAAAAGGCCTAAAAACATAAAAAGATATTTAGGTATGCACATTGAAGTTGTCCAGGTTCTAATAGTCACCATGGTGAGTTACGGAACCTTCTAGAGTGTGCTAGACAGAGGGTTAAGCAAACCCTGCATAACGCTAAAGCAGGTCATGGCTCATGCAAGAGTTGCTTAACCCTTGCACAACAACCCCCAACAGGTTTAGATGGCATAACAAACCACGGTAATACCTCCAGTATTTAAAATGTATGCCAGTACACTCAGTAGCCCGTACTTTAAGTAAGCCACAGTGTGTTGTCTGATCATGTGAACTGAGTGAAAGTCTGTGAATAAGAAGAGAGAAGAATAAGAAGAGAGAAGATACTTAGATATTAAGGACACGGTTATTGTTCAAGTGTGTGTGTTTGTGCTAGTTAGCATTAGTCCAAAATCCTACCAATATCTTAGATAATATTTATAAAGTGAACCATAACTTTACCTTGCCAGTTGATTTTGTTCCTTTCCAAATGCAAAAGTAGCAGATAGTCCAAGCAGCCAGGAGACATAATGCCAGTTCCCAGCGGAGATTTCCAATGTGTTCAATTCCATCAGATATGGCCAACACCCTGCGTCTACAAAAAATGTAACCATAAATATCTAGATAAACAGGAATTACTCATAATGACCCCCTCCTCATTGTTTTTAGTGTTACAAGACAATCTCGAAAAATGCCAAATAATAGGAAACAGTCACTTTACATAAAAAGAGATGGTTACCTGGCAAATGTTGTACAGTACCTATTCTGCAATCCAGCATAATTTTGTGTCACTAAAATGTACACTGTGAAAAAACTAAAACTTTTCTAGTTTACTGCCATCTTGATTCAAGTATGATATGTAATTACCCCAAAGGTAATAATTTCAATGCAGAAGTAACGAGAAGAAGCTCCAAAACTGGACTGATCAGAACAGTCTGCTAGGTCAAACCTTAGCTTCCTATTTTGCTTCTGCAAAGTAGAGCCATAACTGTTACAGTTTGCTATTCAGGAACTAAGAAATTATGGTATGGTAGATGAAAAGTCCTTCTAGCTACCATTGTTAATAGGTATTTAAAGGAAAGAACCCATCCTCCAGGAATTTCTCCAATTCCTTCTCACTCTAAGTTTGTGGTCATTATCGCATCACGTGCAATTGAATTCTATAAATTAATTAGGGGCTCTGTGAAGATGTATTTTTGTACATCCGGAATCTCTTGCAGAGCTATATCATCAGATGATTCCAAGTGTTATAGCTATGCAAAAGGGAAGAAAAATATCTATATCCATCCCTCTAACAAGTCAGTTTTGTTACCTTTATTCAAAATTAAATTAAAAAGTCACTTCCAGAATAGTTTAAACATTTAAGAGGCATGCAAAGAAAATAAAAGTTTTGCACTGTGTCTACTCTGCAGTGGCAATGAACCAGCAAAGCAATTCCCAAATGCATAACAGGCCTGGACAAATGATGCAAACTTTGGGCTCCAGTTGCTATCTACTAGGCCTGCTGATGACCAGAGGACTTGGAGGCCCTGTAGCAAAAGGAGGATCAGCCTGGCCCCAACCGAAAGGAGCAGCTAGAGGAAACTTAGTCCCACTTCACTTCCAGAAAGAACTCAAGAAAGTGTTGGTTACCCTGGGACTGGAGAGGTGAGAGGAAGGCTCTTCTGCTCCCTCCCCCTCTCCCTGGCAAAAGGCGAAGCCTAGTGAGGAAAGATCAGCCTGCTCTCCACTGCACATATTTTAGGGATGTCTGAGAAATCTACAATGGGCTCAAGCAAGATCAGATGTGTAAGCACCAGAGATTGTGCAGTGGAAAATTCAGTCCTGATTTATGCAGATTCCGTAGACCACTTTTTCTTTCCCACAATTTTATACAAATTTAATTGTAGAAAAGACATGCCCACCAAAATATGCATTGCCCCCATAGCCTAAGCATGAAAAGACACATTTCCCAGATTTGTCTGATTTGGAGGTAGGAGGGTGAGGGTTGCACATTTTTGGGAGTGCAAATATGTACAAATGCATTTATGTGAAATCTGAGCAGATGATGTAACAAAAGGCATCTGACAATGTGCAAACCATGAATGGAACAGATTTTACAGCATCTGTGCATCCCTAATATATTTATATGGTTTTTAGATAATTGTTAATTTGTATTTGATGCTTTTATTTTACACATACAGCTCTCAGGAATTCTGATTTGTGGTTCATAAATGTGGTAAAACATATCTTAAAACATAGATGCCTGTCTACAGTTCATCACTTTGTTTTGGCTCTGTCAAATCGATCTCTTTACCTTTTCCTGTCCCTCCTCAGTCCTCCTTGTCGTGAACACATCTCTCCTCTCCCTTTCCCCTCTCTCGCAGGCTGGGACAAAACCTTATCAGCACAGTGCTTTGTTGGGCAATACAGGTTTACATTTGTTATAAATCAGCGTAACGATCCCATTGAATGTAGCATCTGATCATATGAGGAGCTAAATCCAAACTGGGACATCCCCCTCCTTTTCAGAAAGGATTTGACTCTTCCCTCCGCGTGGCTCACGCTGCTTGAGGACTGTGTGGCAGAATGGCACAGCACTAAACTGGTCCTAAACAGCCTTGGCCTTAGGTCTCATAATGGGGTCTATTAATTCGACCTTGATCTCCACCCCCCCCCTTCTTCTAATGTCTCCCTGCTGCTCCAAGGCTTGGTTTTCATGCTGTGCGAGTAACCTGGCATGGTGATCTTGACAGTTCAGAGTCTCTACGGATTCCTTCTCTCTACACCTGTGTGCCTTGTCTTTTAAGGTATAAAACAGGGCAGGGCTGGTATGCATGTCTCCATTTTCCATGTCCTTTCTACGCATTGTGAAACAATAGACCTTCCCAGCCAGTATAAAACTGTAACTGTGGAAGGGACATGAGCATGCACTGCCCCTCCCCCTCCTCTTCCCCTTGAGCTTCCTGGAAAATATGAAGAGAGTTGTTATTGTGTTTGTCCGTACACAACTACACTCCTGCACATGATTGGAAGCCCAGTCCATCATGGTTTCCAGTTGCCTGGAAGGCTACATTCAGCCTCTGGAGACCTTCGGGTGCAACAGAGGAAGGACAGGCTGAAGAGGCAGGGCTGTTATGCGTGTCTCCATTCTCCATGTCCTTCCCATGGTTATGGTTTTATAAAGAGGGATAGTATGTGTCTGAAAAGCAAGATAAAAAGCAACCAAGAACACTCTTAAATATTGAGCACCATGAAACTTTTTTTTCTTTTTTATGATATGCTTTTATTTTCAGGATCCGTTTGCTTCTTTGCAGGTATGTGGCACTTTACAAAGAATAAAAGGATATTTTCCTGCCCTGTCTGCCTGACAATTTCAGTATTGAGTCAAGAGGGAAAAACAGAGAAAGGGAAAGGAAATGGAGGCAGTCATAAAAGGTGGTGGTGGGGAGAATAAGGGATTCGCATTTCTATATGTTCTTTGGCTATATTGCTTGTCAAGCTTGGATATCTTTCATAGCTTCATAAAACATACTTCAGCATGCTGAATGGATAATCCGAGCCAGAAAGGTTGGAAATGGCTGCATGGAAAATATGGACTTTGAGGAGGGATTTGAAGAAAGTAAGATAGATGACAGTGCAGAGCAAGCGTGATGGCAGGCTTTGATAACTGTTCCTGTAGGATGCTGATCGTGTCACTTATGCTGATTTAGATTCATAAGATGACTATTTCAGTGGGTGGAGGAGCAGGTTTTACTCAGGGTCCTGAGATGCAGTGCAGTGAGGGGAGGTGATCAGCTCAAGAGCAGACACGGTGGAGGGTCCGACAGACCCTAGGGACAGCGGAGATGCAGCTGGTGGAATTCACTGGGGCTGAGGAATTCGCAAACAGGGTTCAGCCCCTTCCCTTGGAGCTGGACACCACGGCTAGGCGCCAGCAGTAGTGGAAGGTCCAATTAGACGGGGCGCATGTGGGAAAAGAGGTGTGCTCACTGCCGGAGTGCCCCTCCCCAAGGCTGGGACACAAACATGCTCATAAGGAGAGTTTTGCGAATTAATCACTAGATTGAGTTCAGCAAACCATTTTGTGTATGCCCAGAGACTGCTCTGGATGATTTACATCTGGAAACAATAGGGAACGTTTTTGCAAAAGAAACAGCCTCGGGCTGCGATTGTCAGAGAGGAAAAGGGGCACATGACAATGGCACAGGAGGCATTCTGAGAGGCAGCTCTTGCATGAGAGGGGCTGCAAGGCAGAAAAGGTGGGTAAATGGAAAAGGCTGGGCGGTGGATCTCGACCAACAAAGCTGGCAGCAAGGATGAAACGGGACACAAAGATGGACTGGCAAGGCGGCACAGTCATAGTGTACTACCTGCAACACCTCTGAAACGTATTGGTACTTCTGTATTTTATTAAATAATGTAACACATTCAGAATGCTTCAAAAATTCCCCTTTTCCAACTTTCCTCTAGAGTTTGGAATTCTTCATTCAAAATGAGTTTACATTTTGTGTAAGCGCCTTTCACTATGACTTTCACTTCCTTCCATTTTTCATCTTTCTTCTCCTTCTACTCCACTGATATGCAGTGGCAAAACCAACAAAACACATTCTTAATATTATGTACCATGTATTGCACTGGAATTTATTTTTCCAGGGTAGTTTACCAATCAACTTATGCACTTGTGTGCACTGACAGAACACTGCTAAAAGCAAACTTCCTATGCTTGCACATAATACTACCAAAATTCTTTTAAACTGAACATCACAGCAAACAGAATCTCCTGCAATTCTATTGAGATTGCCTTTTTTGGCAGGTTTTTTTTTTTTAATCACAGGAAGCTCAAAAATAGAGAGGAGGAAAAACATGCAAATTAAGCCTAAGCACTGAAAGCAGCCATAAATTCTGCATGCTCCAGTTCTGGATTTCCCCCCAATCCCCCATCTGGGTCCCATCAGATGTCTCTGGCTGATGAAATGTGCATTACCATTTCTGAAGGAGCAGATATTGGAGAAGGCTTTTTTCATCTGGCTAGCTGCTAAACTGGGTCTAATTATGGAGATTCTAGATATGATAAGGCAGCCACCTTTATCTCTTGGCCAGAGAGAATAGCTTGATTTTGTTTTTGTTTGTTTCATTCACTATTTCTGATTGCATTAGATCATTTTCTCTGAGAAAGCCTTATGATAGTGATTACTTGCCTCTACATACGGATTTGGGAATAAAAACTTTTTCTATTGTGAATGACATGGGAAGATCTTTCACCAGCATTAGGGGCAAGAAATGTTCTCTTTAATTGGCATAAGAACTTCAGTTGGCATTTAACACTGAGGGATAGGATTCTTTCTGGACCGCTAGAAAGCACTCTTAATTTTTTTACAGATAGTAAAATTATTGCAACCATTTTTATGGTCTCTATCCATAAAGAGGAACAGTTGACCTCTATGGTATGAAAGGTTTTTCAAAATTTTGAAGAAGAGGAAATCTCAGCTGTTATTTAGCTTCTGTAAAAGAAACTCTCACTTGATGCTTTTGAGATATTTACATGTCAAGCACCAACTAAATGAATATAATTGATTAAGAAAACAGTTCTATCAGAAGTGTCGTTGGTTAAAA